AATTGGATTAAGGTTTAGAAGAACCTGAAGATTTTGAATTGCTTAAAATGAGTAGGAAATTTACAGCTCCTGGTTCTTCAACTTCTACTTCTTCCTCTCCACCATCCGGCAGATGACGTTCAATACAGACAATGTTAAAGCAAGAAAAAGAACAAGAAAAAGTGACTCTGCAGATGATTATGCAAGGAATTCAAAATATTCAAGCAAGATCAGAGAATATTGAAAAGAGAATAGAGAACATTGAACAAAGAACAGCGAAACCCGATGAAAAAGTGGAGGACATCCAACAAATGATGTTGAAGTATGATGAGAGATTCCAAAAAATTGAAGAAGATAAACAAAGAGACAAGAAGATTGGAGATATTGATAATAGATTAACGGTGGTTGAACAAGATAAAAGTGGTATGTTCAGATGGGAGATGGATAGATCAGAATTCTATCTTAGATTCCAAAATGTAGAGGAAGAAAAAGGACAAAACTTAGCTGAGATAATGATAGAAATACTGGCTGAAGCTTTGGAAATTACTCAAGAGAAGATGATGGGTGGAATAGATGAGGTTTATTGAGTTTTCACAAGATATGCAATGAGAAATAGCTTGCCAAGAGAAGTTCACATTAGATTTACAAAGAAAGCCATTAAAACGCAAATATTGCAAGTGGCAAAAGAGAAAACTTTGAAATATAAAGATAAGGAGATTGTGGTCTTGAAACAAATACCCAGAAGAGTGAGAGAGATGAGAAGAGAATACCGATTCCTGACTAAAATGCTACTTTAAAAAGAGGTGAATTATAGATGGCTGATTCCAGAAGGTTTAATGTTCACATGGCAAGAACAGAGACATAGAATTGACTCAATTGAGAAAGCAGAATTATTTTATACAGAATTTTTTGGAGGGAAAGAGGAAGAGGCAGAAAAAGAGATCTCACTAACTGAATTCCAAGAGGACTGCCAAATGGCGACTGAAAAAGTAGAAGGTGCAGTAGGAGGAAAGGTGGAAGCCAAAGAACAACATGAACTAAGATCTACGAGAGCTGCTAAACCTTACTATAAAATATAACCATGGAAGAGAAAAAATTGGTTACAATTAATATAAATGGACTTAACTCAGCCGTTAAAAGAAGGAAAACCTTTCACAAATTAGAGAAATTAAAATTTAATATAATTTGTCTACAAGAAGTACATATTAAAAAACAATATGGACAATTCTTGGTACAGCCAAAATTAGGGAAAATATTTACTTCCTTGACACAATGTAAGAAAGGAGGAGTGGTTTTATACATTAAAGATATTATCCCAGCGAAATTGATCCATACGGATGATGATGGAAGATTATTAATGGTGGAAATAATGGACAATAATATGAAAACACTCCTGATCGCAATCTATGCCCCGAATGACAATCAAAAAGAATTTTATAGAAAATTGCATATGAATATAATTGAACTGGACTATGCTAATATCGTTATGATGGGAGACTTTAATGGAATTGTAGACAATAAATTGGACTATACAGCACAGAAAACAATAAAGCAAAACAGAAAGACTCTCCCTAAATCTTTTTTTTAAATGGTAGATGAAATAAACTTAAAAGATACATGGAGAGAAAGAAATGCTAAAACTAAACAATACACCTTCTATTCAAATAGACACTTATTATGGTCCAGAACAGATATGATATGGATGTCAACAGAATTAATAACTAATATTCAAGAAATAAATATTGAAACAAGTACTTGGGCAGATCACAATCCAATGACAATTAAATGGAAAGGACAAAAAAGAAGATCTAGATGGACCTTAAATAATGCTATTTTAAAGGAAAAAGACTTCACACAGTGGATGGGGAAAGAATTGGCTTTTTTCTTTAGAGAAAACAAAAAAGAGGATACATCAATTCAGAATGCATGAGATACAATGAAGGCATATGTTAGAGGCTTGATAATAGACTATACAAGGAAAAGGAATATTATGAAAAGACTAGCCTCTATGGCCTTAGAGGATGAGCATAAAAGACTTGAAAAAGAGCTACAGAAAATGCCACAGAAAAAGGACATCAAGCTAAAAATGGATATAATTAAACATAAAATGGGTCAAATAGAAAAAGAAGAATTAGCACAGAAAATTAGAGGTGCTAAACAGAGCTACTTTGAAGACGCAAACAAACCAGGTAGATGGTTAGCATATAAATTGAGAAAGGAGAAAGAATCAAGGAAAATATTGCAGTTAATAGATGATCAAGGCCAAGTTTGCCATGTTGGAAAAGAGAAGAAGGAAATCATTCGAGACTTCTATGGGAAATTATATATGCAAGAGAATATTGATGAGGAAAGAGTTAAACAGTACTTACAGAATGCTAATTTAGCTCAGATACCTAAAGAGACTGAAAAAATGTTAGAAAGCAATATAACGATGATGGAGTTAACTGAAGCACTCAAGAAGCAAAATAATGGAAAGGCACCAGGCCCAGATGGACTTCCGGCAGAATTTTATAAAACATTACAAGAATCGTTGAATCTTCCATTGCTAGAAGTTATGAATGAAGTTATGTTAAAGAAGAAGATACCTAAATCATGGTCAGAAGCCTATATTACACTTATTCCAAAAGAGGTGGCCGACCCATTACAAATTAAGAACTATAGACCCATTTCTCTACTAAATGCAGATTATAAAATTTTTGCTTCAATATTGGCAGAAAGACTTAAAAAATATTTATATAATTTTATCCATCCTGATCAAAATGGATTTCTGCCAAAGAGACAAATTAAAGACAATATAAGAGTAATCTTGGACACCTTGGAATACTACAAGGCACATCCTGAAAAACAAATGGCTCTGATATTCCTAGATGCACAGAAGGCATTTGATAATGTGAATTGGTGATTCATGTTATTACTGTTGGAACAGATGGGTTTTGCTAGAAAATTTATTCAAGCAATAGAAGCTATAGACTATAAGCAGATGGCAAAGGTAATGATAGAGGGAGAATTGACAGACTCTATCAATATAAGAAAAGGAACAAGACAAGGGTGCCCACTATCACCTTTGATGTTTGTGTTAACTTTGGAAGTGCTAAACAGAAATATTAGAGATGAAAAGACTATGAAAGGAATGAAAATCAAAAGGGAAGAATTTAAGCTGCAAGCATTTGCAGATGATCTGGTTTTCATCTTAGAAGACCCTTTAGAAACAGCATCAAAATTGATAGAAAAGATAGAGACATATGGAAGGGTGGCTGGTTTGAAAATAAATAAAGATAAGACAAAGATCTTGACAAAGAATATGCTATCAAGACAAAAGGAAGAACTGGCAGACTAGAAATACTAGATTGTTGACATTAGAAGGACATGATTTGTTGTTGGGGTGGCATGCTTTTTTATGGTACAAAGGAACTAAAACACAGGGGGATTTTAGAAGACATTATACATGGGAGTCTCTGTGGTTAAACTGGGAGAAGACTAAAAGACAATGTTTTTTGGTTATTGACTATTGAAGCATTTTCGTATCCTATAATATACAAAAAGGAACAAACAGTTAGATATGGTGAAATATTGAATGAAAAGAGTGAACTTAAATCTATGCAAAAACTAGAGGAACAAAGTATAAAGATGAATTGGTTCTCATATGCGCAAATATATTCAAGGTATGATAAAGATTCTAAAACAGAAGGTTTCTATGATAAACTGACTGACTTAGATAAGATTTTGACAGGTACTGATGAAAAGGTGATTAAAAAATTGTATGGATATTTTTTAGAAATTAAACTAGAAGAAGAACAAGTTAAAGAAACTATGATTGCTTGGGGGAAGAATTTTGGATATGGGATTGATTTAGAGAAATGGCAAAAATTGTGGTCTCAAAATTATAAAATGACAATGTCAACAGCATATAAAGAAAATTTGTATAAGATGTTTTACAGGTGGCATTTTCCCCCAACAAGAATAGCAAGAATGTTCAAGAAAGAATAAATCTGAAAAATGTTGGAAATGTCATCAGACACCTGGCTCATATTACTATATGTGGTGGACTTGTGCGGATGCTAAAAAATACTGGACTAAATCCACATGTGGTTGGAAAAAATGACAAAAAAACATATAGACTTGAAACCAGAGATATTTTTATTGGGAATTTTACCTGGAATATATGGTAAAGACTTGAAATACCTGATTGTAAATGTATTAACAGCGGCTAGAATTGTATTTGCTAAAAACTGGAAAAATGAGAAAATACCATCACAGGAGGAAATCATTAAGAAAATATTAGAATGTGCTGAAATGAGTAGATTGACATTTGAAATTAGAGAACAAGAGGATAAACAATTTTATAAAATTTGGGATCTTTTCTATCAATGGTTAGACAATAAAGTACAGTAATGAAATATGTAGACTTTTAGAAAATAATAAATATATAAAGATGTACTTCTTTCTTATTATACCTACAAAATGATTTTAGGATAGATTTGGGATGATAACATGAACTGTTATAAAATAAACTAAGTAAATTATGATTATCTTGTAAAACATGAATGAATAAAAGTATAGTCAAATGATTGATTAATAATGATACTAAGGTATTACTTTTTGATTGACAATATGAGATTATATCTAATGTAATTGTAATTGAAGACTATGAAATGGAAGCACAAAACAATTTGTAAACCAACCGGCACACTGTATGTACACCTATGGAAGATAGCTTGATATTTTTATGTTTTGTTTGTTTATGTTTGTTTTTAAAAACCAATAATTTTTTTTTAAAAAAAAGCTTTCTTCTTTAACATCAGTTACAATGGTAGTTTGGTCAGAAAAGTAAAGTCCTTGGTGTATATAACTTAAAGATGTTCTAGCTGCCCCAGTGTCTTACTAAAAACCCTACAGATTCTTGGTAAGATCCCACTTGTACATTTATCAAGGGCTCTTGGTGGGATCTTAAAGACAATGGCCGTGATATCCCTAATCTAGTTCCAGATCCTGTCAGCTTTAAAATTCAGCTGTCACTCATCTTCTTTCTTTAGTATAGGACAATCTCTCCTAAAGTGTCCTTCTAGCCCACAGGCATAACGTTTGGGTTTTGGTTTAGGTAACTCTCCACCACATCCCGCTCCCCAGGCATGTAGAATGTCTCTGCCTCTTGCTCTATTTCCCCTTACACCTCATGTAGGAATGAATTCTCTCCCATGTCCTAAAACATGGGAGGTTTCCTCTTCCTTTCTATGTTTTGCTTCTTCCATGGTGTTAATCATGATCTTTGCTTTATGCTTCTGCTTCTCATCATCTCTTCTCACATATACTTTTTGAACGTCTTTTAAAAGGTCAGCTATGGATGTCAGCCCACCCTTCTGTTTTCTGTATCTTTTTCTGGATGTCAGGCCATGATTTAGCCACAAAATTAAATTTCAGGAATCATTCTCCTGTTTGAGCATCTGGGTCTATGCCTGAGTATTTTCTCATGTGATCTTTCAGTCTCTGCAAAAATGTAGTTGGTGCTTCATCTTTGTCTTGGTATATTTCGAAGGCTTTATTCAAATTTTGGTTTTTAGGTACAGTCTCCTTTACTCCTTCAGTTATGATTTCTCTCTCGTCTTCCATGTGTCTCGTATCCTGTTCATTGTTACTCTGCCAATTAGGTTTCTGGAGAGCAAACTTCTGTTCCCCGGTAGGACCACCATTATTTCCAGTTGGTGGATGTTTATTATCCCAGTGTGTCATGGCTGCTTTTCTGATTAAACCTCTCTCCTCTCCAGTGATTAAACCTCCTTTCCTCTCCATTGTATTATTCATAATAGAATGTAATTCACTCCAATTATATGTATATTGGGTCCCTGGAAAATGTCTAATTGTTTTGAAACTCCTATTAGATCCTTCACTAATGAATTCAACTCTTTCTTAAAGACTTTCACATCATTACTGGTAAGTGGAGATTCCACATAAATTACCTGAGGTAATCCCCGTGCATCTGATCCATTAGGCACTTCCCTTAAGGGAAACATGGGTCTCTTTGGGACCACTTTCTTTGGTCTAACATCTCTATCCTTTCCAGAAGGCATAGGAAACTATATTAGGTCTTTCTCACATTGTGCAATCTCTCTGCACAACCTTGGACATAGTTTCTCCTGAGTGTCCTTTACAGGTCTCTCCACACTCTAGATTTCTATTATCCTGTCCTGTTGCTCACCCACTGCCTGTTCCAGACTCACGTCACCTCCTTGGGTTTGTTCCTGGGTACCTACCACCTGATCTAGGGGTACCTGTGGATTATATGGTGGTGGTGGCAGATAATCAAGAGGGTCCCATTTCTTTAAAGTAACATAGTCTTCCTCTGTATCACTGACTTTGTCCTCTCTTACTGCAAAAGACTTTGTTTCAGGTATCCAGCACATGCATACTTTGATTCTTCCTGTGAATGCTTTTTGCCATTAACATATAAATTTAATGCTTGGCATAATCAGTCTTCATAACTGCCATACTATGGCCAGAAGACTGCACTCCCTTTAATGGGGAACTGGTTACTCGAAGTAGCAGTACTGAATAATTCTTTTCTTGTTCTTATCCCTGGTCCTGACTGAAGTTTTCCAGTGTTTAAGCATTACTCCTAAAGGGCTTTCTGGAGGAATGATTGGATGCTCTGGGAACTCGGTTCCCTGTTTGTTTTTGTCTGGTTTACTCCCTCTGTTTCCCATTTTAGAAAACAAACTCTCTCATATTTTAATCTAACCACTTGCTTTGTTCTTCTCTGACTGCTTCCCTCTCAGGACAGCAGAAATGCAGATTGGAACTCCCTCTCACCCGGTAGTTTCACTACCTCTCATACATCTATCAATCAGGTCTCACAAACACAGAATATTTTCCAAATAAGGGCTCATCAAAGGTGAATGCAGATCAAAGCATAGATTGGCATTTTATTCCTTACACAAGCACAAACCCATTTCCTACCCCTACCCCTTTTCCTGTTTAAATCATGTACCTTATCCCCCTCCTCAAGCCCCCTTTTCTTAGAAATAATATTTTTGATTATTAAAGCACTCAATATATTCCCCCCGCCCTTTTTTCTGTGCTAGCTCCCAAAAGCATCTTTAAGCTTTTCCTGTTCAGTTTTTGCTTGTCTCTACTTGGGGTTACTGCTGGCATCTTGTTTGCGGTTTGACTTTTAATTCTGTACCTGTTAGAAGCTTTTTCTTGTAACAGTTACACAGACAGCTTATTTTCTTTTCTACTTAAAAGCATTTTATGCTAAGCATTTTTAGAAGCAACACAAACTCCATTTGTTTTACAATTAATGATATGATTATCATTTTATTTATTTATATCAGTGTTCACTCACTTCAAATTTTAAACAACTGTTTCAATCCCATGGGGTATTACAAGTTCAAAATATTCTGAATTTGAAACTTTCACATCTTTTTAATGAAGATGTTCCAATCTTCAGTTGAAACAAAGCATTCAAAAGAACAAGCAAGCACTAGTAAAAAAAGATGTGAATAAAAAATAGACAAACAATTTTCATGTATACTTATATTTGGTTGGTAGATAAATGGAGGAGGGAGCATATTTACATCGAGAGATTACAAGATTAAATATTAGCAAAACACAATGAGGCATTAGTTCCACCAAAACCAAAGGAGTTACTGAGAGCAATACACCGCTTTTTACTTTTCCATTCTTGTGCTACTAATGGAACATAATTGAGATCAAATAGTGGCTCTGTCTGATCCAGATTTAAAGTAGGTGGCAAAATTCCATGGTAACAAGCTAAAGCAGTAAAAGCTGCCTCAATAGCTCCTGCGGCACCCAAGAGATGACCTGTTGCTCCCTTAGTTGAGGAGATTGCAAGAGCAGTAGCATGACCTTTAAAAAGGGTTTTGATAGCTTGATTCTCTGCAGCGTCTCCTAGTGGAGTGGAGGTGGCATGAGCATTGATGTATGTTACATCTTCCGGAAAAATTCCAGAATCTTTGATTGCTGCAGACATGCACCTTTGGAACAAAAAAGAAGACATTAGTTTATCGAATATGAGAAAGTTATTTCAGTCCATTGCATGCCTGAAAATAATGAAACATGGAACACTGTAAGGATATAAAATGTCATATATGTAAATAAGATTCTCTGGGATCCCATCTACTGCAATCCTGCACTGAAGATTAAGAAGATTCTCACCCAAACTAGGAAGTATGAAGAACTTCACAACACATCTGTTACAACTAAATGTTGAATTCTTAAGCTGGGTCTTTAAGACACGATTAGACACCCTTTTCTATATTATAATTTTAATTGAAAAATAATATTCTATAGTATGTATTGCCAGTTTGGTTGAAACTAGAAAATTAAGTTCTAGTGAACTGATAAATGTAATTATCTTGATTCTACAGTTGTGCTGGTTGGCAGAATATTTCATCAAATGCTATGTCTCTCCTTAATTGTTATGTATCTTGGAGCTGAACAAACGGAAACAATTAACAGCAGTAAATGTAGTATTTTTTAGGTAATGGGGAATCATTATTTTAAGAATGGATAAGATAGATTCATTTAATTTTTATGCAATAGTATCATGTAGGTACCGTATAATTCATAATTATCTCATTTACAATGAGCTAGCATGATTGTCCCATGATTATCTCCAATAATCATAATAGTATTTCAAATGGCTTTAGCTGAATTTAAAACTATGTCAGTTTAACATCCTTCCCTAAAGAAAAGCTCTGCTTTACACTTTAATACTTTCACCAAATTCTGAAAAAATAGGTATTAAGCTAACAATTAGTACACTGGGTCAGCTGTTTTTCAATTGCTTTTTAAAAATGAAACTGTTATTTTGCATAATAATAAATTTGGAAATGTAACTATGCAGTGATAGAAGCCTCAGAAGCAGGCAAATAAAGGAATAAAAATGTTCCATTGATCAACATCAAAAACATAGGAAAAAGAATAGATGTCTCAGTAATAAATGTACTAGTGCAAGCCTAACTTTTAAATGGAAAGACATCTTTTCAAAGTGTGATCACAAAAAAGGCTCTTTACCAGTGTATCACTTACATAATCTTACAGGAAGTCACCTTAAAGGAGGGCTGTTGGTATCCATGCCATATCTGGCTTTATCCTGGGAAGATGGGTGATCACCAGAATTTGTCATTGGGCAAATAACATGAATACACAGCTGCACCTGGTGACTAGTTCAAATGATTGTGAAATGGTAGCCAAGGTTAACCCAGCAAAGTAACTTTGCTTTTAGGATAAATAGCAAGTCACAGTATCTGCTTATGACCATGGCAGTGCACCATTGTGTTTGCCAGCAGTCCCAAAGGTGCTTTTTCAAGAGGGAACTGATTACAGAAAGTCCAATTGATTCTTGAAAAAGCATATTTGGGGATAACCATTACCTGGATGACTGAGAATCTCCGAATGCTCTTTGCCAGCAGGCTCTTCACAAATGGTGACACATATATATGCACACACACACACACTCCACCGCCGCACACAAAATTGGTAAACAAATTTCTCAATTATCTAATGTTCCCATATAAAAGACCTCTGATCAGCCAGAAAGCAAGCTATTCCTACATTATGAAATTATACCAATGATTTATGATAATAGCTGTTACCTCGAAGCTCCATCTCCATTTGGATCAGGTGCTGTAATGTGGCAGGCATCAGCTGAGAGTCCATAGCCTAAAATTTCTGCATAAGGTTTGGCTTCTCTCTGGATAGCATGCATGTATTCTTCCAAAACCAAAACTGCGGCACCTTCTCCCATAACAAATCCTTCTCTTAGTGGATGGAATGGACGGCAAGCTTTTTGAGGGTTAGAGTTAAAGCTAGTGCTCAGAGCCCGAGCTCTGGCAAATCCAGCCAGAGACAATGGGCTAATACACGCTTCTGTTCCTCCAGCCAACATCACATCAGCATCACCATGAGCTATAAATCGAAAAGAGTCTCCAATGGCATGTGCTCCAGTGGTACAAGCAGTGGACACAGCATGGTTTGGTCCTTTTAATTGATGTTTGATACTAATATGACCTGCTGCCATATTGATCAAAATCTTTGGAACAAAAAATGGGCTGACCTTGTTGTAGCCTTTTGTTTTGAATGTCAAGGCTGTATCAGAGATATCTTCCAGTGGAACCATTCCCATTCCTATAGCCACACCAGCTTTCAAACTATCCTGGTCAGATTGTGGAGACCAACCAGAATCCTTTAATGCTAGATCAGCAGCGCCTATGGCCATGATGGTGGCAGAAGACATAGCTTTGCTGTCTGATTTTGTTATAAAATTTTCTCCATGGAACTGACCTTTATCAACCCCTTTTGGCACGCATGCAGCAACCTTACAAGGAACAGAAGCATATTCTTCTCCTTCAAGGGCAACAATCCCACAATTTCCTTGGAGAAGATTGTTCCAAACCAACTGGGTTCCAACACCAAGAGGAGATACTAATCCTATACCTGTGACAACAACCCTTCTTCGACCATGAACTAACCTAGTACATCTTTTATTGATATTTAGATATTGCTGTACTTGTGAACTTGGAAGGTAGAGGCTTGTAGCTCTTAATACAGTTCTCAAGTGCTGGAGAATCATCACTGTACTACTTCAGAGTTTATTCCTATGAGGGGAGGAAAATAAAATTATTATTTACAAGTTTTCACCATGGGTAAAGTTTGCATTTTTTTTATAAAAGTCAAAAAATTATTAATATACCAAACATGCAAGATATATAATGTAAATTTAAGTAAAATGAAATAGTTTCTATAATCTAATTTTCAAGCCTAATTGAAGAATTTATGATTGCAATTTAAAAACAGAGGTAAGGATTTTATCATAAAATTTTCTAGTATATTCCAGAGTTATTCATAAAATTTGCAAGAAATGACTCTTTGGTCATACTAAATTCAATGTAATGTAAATTCAAAAAGTAATGCATTAAATTCAAAAATATATGCAAGGAAATTTTCAAACTTTAAAGTGTTTACTGTTATCTTTCTTGTAAAGTGTTTACTACTATCTTTCTTGTAAATTTTTGGAAGTAGAACAAAACTTTGGCTTTGTAGGAAAATAAAGTAAATAAAATAATCTGAAAAATAACTCACTATGCCATAATTTTGTTATATATACTACAATACACTTTAGCTTGGAAGCAAACAGGGTCAGGCTTGATTAGTGATTCTATGGGAAACCATCAAAGACTATCAAGCCTGGAAAATAGACTCAGAATTTTTTCAAAAGTCCTAGAAAACTGTATGGATCTATTAAAAACACTTTTAATCAGCAACATCAAGAACACAATGCAGTAGCTAACTTCATGATAAGCAATTTGGTTCACATCCCTGATTTGCACTATATAGTTCTCATAAGTATTCTGTTTCCTCCCCTTGGGTGTGGGGGACAATAGCCATTGCCCCTCCCCAAAAGGAAGGACAGGAGTACATAAGAGCTGGAATATGTCCATACAGACTTTTTTATTGACTGGAATGCTATATCTCCTGCTTAAGCACAGGCTTGGACTAGAAGACTCCCAACATCTCTTCCAACCCTATTATTCTATGTTCTTTCTGTTTAGCAGACTCATATAACACATAACCTGTTTTCAGAGGTCTTCTCACTGCCTACAGCATATTTGTAATATGATTCTACTCTTTAAGAAACAGAAGTATCCTCTTCAGCATATAGAAAAAGAGATCAGCTATCCAAAATCAGAGACAATCTATATCCTTACTATTGTTTTACTTTATAACCACTGACAAATCCTTACAAGTATTTTATGCCATTACAAGTCTTTTAGTTTGGGGCCTATATACATATGATATACATTCCATTTTAATGGTATTGTATAGAAAGTCTAAGTAATCCTGTGACCCTATTGATGTTGCTGGCCTATAGTTCTGCAAAATTTGGAGAACTCCATATTTTGTCATTTCTTGTGGTAATACAATGTAGATAGATTTAATTCCAGATTACCAAAATTCAACTGTATGAGCAACAATTTACTGTACTAGAGCTAAGCTATAATGAACTTGGCAGAACTTGCAAGTTTCACTTTCAACTAATACACAATTTCTCAGATATAGAAGTAACTCCCATAAAGGTAAGCGAGATTTAACTTTACAGGAAAATAAAAATACATTTAGCATTTTTATATGAATATTAATATTAAAATGCATGCTTAGGATGGCAGTGCAGATGCATCCAGTTGAGGCTTGTTAGCATGCAATTATAAAACTGCCTTGTCTCATTCACCAAAGGAATCTAGGAGGTGATAGTGTTCTTTATTTATAAAACATCTTGATTTCCCTTATCTTTTTTCCTCTTATTTTCTTGAAAGAAAAAAATGGGAACAATGAGGATAAGATCCATAGTGCTTTTTAATTAAAGCTGCAAATCTGAATTATAAAAGCCGGAAGAGCACTAGGTTACAGAAAAGTTTTCTTGTCTTCTAGTTACTGTCTGGATTCTGCAACATATATCAGGCAGACATAAAAGATACTAGCATTACCAAAAATAAATTACTCGAAAGCGTTATAGGGTTACCATATCTGGAGATGTGAAATCCAGACTACACTAATTGGCAACAAAGAAGTGTTATTTTGCGGTCAGTGCCATTCAGTAGCTCGGATTTCTGTTGCCCAGCGTCGGTAAACCTTCAAGAAGTCGACAAGTAAGGTTCGGGAAATCTATCAGGCGGTGTGGAGGTGACAATGTAGCTGCTGCGCGTGCTCATAACGGAGGGGAAGCGGTGCTATTACACGAATGAAGGCGTCATTGCCATCTTTTTCTGAGTCACTAAAATCGGCGCCCCATTTAGACGCATGATACTCTGAGTCAGCAAGATTTAGAATTAAATACGGGCGGGGGCGCCGCCAAAAATAAGTTTCTATTTTCTCTCTCTCTCTCTCTCTCTCTCTCTTTCTCTCAGACTAACGGTAGGCAAATGACACTGCAATGGGATAGTGGCCGCGGTGGAATGTGCCACTACAGCGCTCTCGCGAGCATTAAATGACCTGTCCCAGAATTCTAGAGAAACGTTTTTAGAGGCCTCGGGGTTGCTGCTCAGGTGAGAAGAACGGACCAAACAGGAGGTTTTTCCGTGAAGGCCGTCGGGATGGGACTTCCATGGGTATATGTTAAAAAAAGAAAACGTTTCTGAATCGGGGGCGTAACAACTGTTTTTAGTGTCGCGGGCGGGTTACTAGTTGAGAAATTCAGTTGCGCAATTTCCTGTTTTTGTGCTCGTTCAATTGCAAATTAAACTATCTCTCCTGCATCTGTTTAAGGAGAAAGAAGTCACCATTAAGATCTGCATTGTATACGATACAGCACTGCTGGGGCATTACTAGTTTATCTGTACATTTGTTCAGCGTAATACGAAGCTGCATTCCAGCAACTCCCATTATATTTTGGAAAAGACTAATCTCTTATAGTAGCTTCTTTCTGCCAGGTAGATGAATTTAAAACAAAGATGCTCCCTGCTATTTGTTCTGTCCAGGCATACACAAATTTGAGAGCTGGGGAGAACCTCTGGGTAGGTGCTGAATGCATATTCTCTCCACAAATAATGTTTGTGTTTCAGATTGAAGAGCAAAGTGGTTTAGTATAATTGGAGTTGCAATAGAATTCATTTTAAAAATTAAGCATGTAAAGCTAACTTGGGAGCTGTAATATCACAATAGAAAAACAAGCAAGAAATGCAGCTACCTGGAACACATCATCGTATTCAACGAGCAGGATAAAATTACAGGATAAGATTGGAATAATATGCCCCTGGGCGTTTGGGGCAGCTCCCTTGTTGGTTAAAAATTACATTATTAAATTACATTGATGGCCAATGCATCAGGTGTACCAGATTTGGAAAGGGTATTGTTAAAATGCGTGAGTCTCAAAATATATTAAAAATAAAACTATCAAGTTCCAAAGAACCAAATGAAATTGGTTCAATACTCATTATCATCCAAATTTCTGAACTGTTTGACTACATAAGGAATAGTTTTTCAAGAATAACACTACATTAGTCCCTTCTAGTTTTGTGTAGCACAAAACATATTTGAATGGGTTAACACTGAGAATTCCAATTAATTCTTAGGGTTGGAATAAGTTCTGATTAAGAAGCATTAAAAGAAATCTAATTACTGGCAAAATAGTCTCACTAAAATCCAAAGCTTTGAGGATTGCCTTATTTATACCTGTAATGGACAGAAATGGGAGAGATGAACACATTTTGGAGGAGGAATTCCTTAGAAGGAGTAGCTGATACTGCAGGAAAAGCAGAAAGAATAAATTTATTATATAAACAGTACAGGAGTCTAGCCTACATTAAAAAGTCAGGCTGAGGAAGTCTTCTAAAAGCAAATGCATTTTTGGAGAAGGCTGAATCAGTATTTAGAATTTTAAAGGAAGCACAAGAGGATTAAACTATGTCCATAAATGTCTTGCCAGGCTATGTAATTATTTAGAAAATGGTAGCAGTGTCCTCTGAATGGTTCAACCCTTATTTTGTTGATCTAACTGAATTTTTAGATACTTTTCTCAAAGTTATATTAAATGTCTATAAATGAGCAAAAGAAGATAATTATGATTTCAGAAAAACAAATATTTATTATTCAGGTTTATATACCATTTATATTACAACTGGGTCCTAAGCATACATTCCAATTCCATAAACAGATTTCAATGGCAACTGCAACAGTAACTGTTATAAAACACAAACCATACTTTAAGAATTACATTCCAAAATTATCTAACTTTCAGTTATACAGTGACATCTCATGATTCATATCATTTCCCAAAGGCTTTCTGGAATAGTATGGGATATTTTTTAATCTTCCCCTAGTTGAACAGTGACAGATGTATTGTAACAATAGCTTCCTCTTTGGAAAACAGGTCCAAAACTTACAAATGTTTACATCTATTTGCAAATCCAATTTGACCTGTTATACATTGCATATACAAAGAAAAAATAGTTAACAGGTTAAATCAGCAATCCCCAACCTTTCTGGCTCTTCCAGCAGTGAGGTGGTGGTGGATGATTTTGCAGCTTGCCTGCTACTTACACAGCCCGATTCTCAATTGGCTGTGGACCGGGAGTTAAGGACCCCCCCCACAAGTTAAACAACAGCAGAGTTAAAGTTCAAAGTCTTCTGTTACCATTGTAGAAAGTCTACAATGATTTCTTTTTTTTTAACAATAAATCTTATTAATGAACAACAAAAAGAAAAACATTTAAAAACAATGAACGTGTTGCATACATCCCGACACACGTTACCTATTTGTCTTACATCCTCGTATAATATAGCAAAAAATAAAAATTTACATATATACATAAATTTTAATCATTGTTAATACATTTACTCCTTTCTTTTTTAAACCAGTAGTAAAACTTCTTCCAAATTTTGTAGTAATCAGATTCAGTCTTATCTTTTAATTCTTGGGTTACTCTATCTATTTCAGTGCATATCCAAATTTTTCTAGTTATTTCTATGTCTTCTGGCATATCATTACCTTTCCATCTTTGGGCAAGGGCTAATCTCACAGTAGTGGTGACATGGACTATTAAGTATATTATCTCTATTATATTTTCCCACATTGATTACCAATAGAAAACTTTCAGGTCTAAATTCTATTTTAATTTGACATATCTTTTCTAACTGATTTCTAATTTTCAACCAATATGTTTGAACTTTTTCACATTTCCACCGTACATGGTAGTATGTTCCAATTTCTTTGTTGCATTTCCAACATTTAGGGGATAATTTGCCAATTTTGATGGTGGAATGTGCCATCGATAAAAATTTTGTGTAAGTTTTCTTTATATGATGCCGCCAAGGTTATTTTTCTATTCCTGTCCCATAAAATTTGCCAATCATCCAAATTTATGCCATATCCAAAATCTTTCATCCAGGCCAACATTGTTTTTTCACCTTTTCCTCTTCCAGTTTGCATTCTAATAATATTTTGTAAGTTTGTTTAATCAATTTCTCATCCATTCCTAATATTTTATCTAATTCTGTTTTCCATCTACTAATACCCCATTCTTTCATATCTTTACTATACCTCGACTGTAATTGTAAATAGGCCCATCATTCTATCTCAAATCTCATATCTTTCAAGTCCTGTCTTGTTTTTAAGTCACCCTTCTCATCTAATATGTCCTCATATGTAGTGACCTGACCTCGACACAATAAATGTGGGTACATTAACGCTTCTAATATAGATAGCTAAGTTGGTATTTCAACGTAGATATGCTGTTTAGTTTTATTCCATGCATTTAGTAAAGTCTGCCTAATTTTATGCCTTTGAAAGTAACCATGAATTTGATGTTTGTTCTGTCACAAAGAGGCATGCCACCCTGCCTGTAAGTTATATCCTTCTAATGTTAACATTCTTTTATTTTTAACACTTATCCAATCTTTAACCCAAGTCAGAGTATCCACTCTATGATATATTTCCCAATTTGGTAGGTCAAAACCTCCTCTTTGTTGTGTCCTGCAACAATTTCTGTTTAATTCGGGGCTTTTTTCCCTGCCATATAAATTTTGATACTAACTTATCCAATTGATCAAAGAAATTTTTCTCTAATTTTACTGGAGCGTTTTGGAATAAAAACAATAATTTTGCTAATACGTTCATTTTTATGGATGCAATTCTCCCCATAAAGAAAAGTCTTAAGTTACTCCATTTCCTAAAATCTTCGGTTATTTTTTTAATTAGTGGAATATAATTATCCTTTTTGAGGGTTTTATATTTTGCCGAAATTACAATTCCTAAATATTTAATTTTATTTGTCGTCTGGATGCCCATTATCCTCATTAAATTTTCCTTTTGTGCATTTGTCATTTTTTTTGGTAAGTATTTTAGTTTTTTCCTTATTAATTTTTGGCCCCGTTACTTCTCCAAATTCCTCTAATTGCTCTAACAATTTTGGTCCAGAATTTTGCAGATTGTCTAAAATAAAAACCAATTCATCAGCGAAGGCTTGTAATTTATATTCCTTCTTTATTTTTAGTCCTTTTATTTCCGGTTCTTTCCTAATTATTCTTGTTAATACTTCTAATGTCAAAATAAATAATAATGGTGATAATGGACATCCCTGGCTTGTTCCTTTTTGTATTTCAAATTTATTTGTTATGTGATCATTTATCAATATCCTAGCTTCTTGTTTGTGATATAATGTTAATACTACATTTAGGATTTTTTGCCCAAAATTCATATACTTGTTGCAGAATGAAACTCCATTTTACATTATCAAAGGCTTTTTTAGCGTCCAAGAATAATAGTGCTACCTGTTCTCCACTACAATTTTCATAATGCTCTAAGATGTCTAAAATTGTCCTGATATTATTCCTAAGATGTATGTGGAAGGAAGCCATTTTGATCTGTTTGTTTAATATTTTCTTGAATCTTTCAACTATTACAGTTATGAAAATTTTATAATCCACATTTAATAGAGATATTGGCCTGCAGTTTCCTATCTTTGGTCATTTTTTTTCTTTTGGAATGATCATAATTGTTGCTTCCTTCCATGATTTTGGAATATTTGCCTTATCCAGGACTTCATTAAATAAGTAATCTGTTGCCTAATAACTCTTGTTGGGTTTCATATAATTCAGCAGGGAGTGCATCTGGGCCAGCCGCCTTATTGGTTTCTTGTTTATTTATTGCCCAAATCACTTCTTCAAGATTTATTCTTCTATTCAGTAAGCTTTTTTTTTCTTCCGATATTCTCGGAAGTTTCACTTTCTTAAAACAGTTTATCACTTTTTCTTCTGTTACGTATTCTTCTTTATATAGATCCTCATAAAATTTCTGAGCTATATTCCTTTTCATTTCTTCTTGATAACATATTTCTCCCCGTTTGTTTTGTAGCTTAGTGATCCATCTTTTTTCTGGCTGTTTCTTCAGTTTCCAGGCTAGCCATCTTCTGGTTTACAAATACATTTTGTTTTATTCTTTTCAGTTTTGGGGCTAGGTCTTCTTTTTCCAGCAAGTTTATTTCATGTTTTATTAAACCCATTCGCATTTTTATCTCTTTCTGGTTTGTTTCTTCTTGCAGCTTCCAT